CTCATATTTCTGAGGTCGTTATGATCCATGCCAAATCCTGAAAAGTCCAATCAAAATCAGAAACCCATTAATTTATTCATTCAGAAGAAAGTACTGCATAGGAACAGAATGTAGAGGTCTATTTGATAAACAGTCTTCCTTAAGAGAGCAACTTAACCATAACTAGAAAAAGGTTGCTCTGAATGCAGAGCACAGACACTAAGAAAGTTGACTGTTTAATGGCATCAGGATAAGAAAGTTTCTCACCCATAGGACTCCAACAAAATACTGGCCAGGTCACTACCTGTCTTGGACAATGCTGAGATGGATGTTCCTAACGTTTGCCTTAGTGACTTCTTTTGTTTTTTTCTATGCTTACCTAACTTGCAAAATCACTTTATGTATGCATTCTTTGATTAGCCAAATTCATATATTCACTTCTGTTACAGACAAGTCTTGCAAGTCCACAGACCAGGTTTTCCTCTTTAAGAAGTTTTTGTGTATCTCTGCTTTGATCCATAGCCTTTTGATTTCACTGTTTCTCCCTGTGCAAGCACCTCAAGTTCTTTGTGACCACCACTGACACCCTTATATACAGAGAGCAACTGTCCTATCTCTCCCTTTTTTGACATTCATCTTATTTTGTATAAAATATATAGGCAATTTCACAAAGTATCATAATAGCCCTTCTATTCAACATGTTGCTGGCCGAAATAACTTAGCCATCACCTAGGTCTCTGCACCATTAATTACCGCCTTTATTTATTGTATATTAATTTCTTATTTCACTTGACCTAGCCTCAGTCTACAAATGTGGTTAAGCCTACCCTCCCCCAAAAAGCCTGCCCTCAAGACTGCCACTCTCAGGCCACCGCTCTATTCCTCCCGTTCCTTTCATAGTCCCAGGACTGGACTGTCATGTGTCATTGCCATCTCCCACTTATCCATGCCTGGCAGTCTGGCTCCCATAAGTTCCACAATCCACTGGAACTTGCTTCTTGGAGTAGTGCTAACCTTCAGTGACCTCTTCTCACTGCGGTCTGGTGCTAGAACCCAGACGGGTTGACTGCCTGGCTTTGCTAATGTCACTCCCTTGGCCATGGCTTATTGTTCCAGGGAAAGAGACATACACTCAGGCTGGGCCAATCACACTTGTCTCTCTTGGGATCTGGAGCTTGGATTGGAGAGGCACAGAATTTTCTGGAGCAGAGTTGTATTAATGGCTGCACCACGCAGGAAAAGGAGCTGTGGATTTCCAGATGGCCCCCAGAGCAGGCTTGGTTCCTACTCTTCCTGAGCCTGGGTTGTGCATCTCTTCAATTGACTCTGTGAGCTGCCCCAGAATCCCACCTCAGGCATTGGCCTTAAAGTCCCTTTTTTTCTGTTTAAGTTAGCAAGAATCAGCTTTTATCCTTTACAACCAAAAGGCTTAGCTTATTCATTCTCTTACGTTTTTTTTAACAACTCAGAAGCACTGGACACTGAATACCCTGCCCTGCTGAAGATCTTTTTCTCTTTGCTGCCTTTGCACTCTTGTGGCTCCTTGTCCCCGAGCATTTTCTCAGGCTCCACAGCCACTCCCTTTCTTTCCTCAATCCCTGAATGGGAAGCTTCATAAACTTTTATTTATCTGAATCATTTTTACATTCTCATTTATTCAACTCAACCAAACAAAATTTTGAATGAGCCAGACATGCCACTACCTCAATTCAGAAGATTGCAAATAGACATAGTCAGGCATCAAGACACCCAAGTTCTAGACATACATTTGTGATTGTCTAGACATACATTTCTGATCCATCTCCAACTAAGGTCACCTATTGCCATTTCAAATTGAGTATGTTTAAACCAAGACTCATGACTTTTGCCTCCAAATATGATCCTTTTTCTGTCTTTCCTATCTCCATCAAGAGCAGTGCCATCCTCCCAGACTGGGCTTAAATATTAGAGTTATCTCTTATTTCCTCCTCCCATCTGATCAATGCATAGTCCTGCCAATTCTGACGCTGTCACACATTCACCTCAACAGCACAGCCCATTGTCACCTCTCCTCAAGTCCCCTTACATTTCACGCTCTGTTGAAGGGTTTACTAATCATCCTCCACACTACCGCTTAAGTCTTCCTAAAACTCAGATCTAATCATGACAGTCCCTAGAAGAAAAGCCTTTAATTCAGTGGTTCTCCACTGGGATGTCCATCAAAATAGCCCAGGAGTTTTGAAAAATTACACACTCTTGGGCTGCAAATAAGACTTCCTAAATTAGTTTACAGGAGTGAAGTATGATCATGTGTACTTTGAGAAAGCCCCCCAGAGGGATTCTGTTGCAGCCCTGTGGTTGAGAGTAATTGCTTTAATTGGACCTCAATGACTATTAAACAAATCTCAGATTTCTCACTGTGATATTGAAGGCACAAACTTCTGCTTCAAGCCTTGTCTCCCTTTATTCCTTACATATCCAAAAGTCTGGCCAAAAATGATTACAATAGTTACTGTTTCTTGAATGCCTCCTGACATCACGCCTTTCATTAGCCTGTTCTTGCCACCCAGAATACTCTTTCTTTTCCATTTCTATTTCTTTCAATTATACCTGTTTTTTCAAAGTCAACCTTAAAGTGCATTAGATGAAAGTGAATTTAAAGCATCTAGAATAGTTTTTTAGTCATAATAAGCCCTCCATAAATACTAGTTAATATTGTTATTATTGTGATGATAAATAATACATTCTACCTCCATGAAGTCCTTATCACCCCCCAAGTCAGACCTAGTCTTTCCTTCTTCTGTGTTTCCATTGCACTTTGTTTCACCTCTGTTAGGGGTACTCGTCCGAGTCTGTTTTGCCTTTTGCACCTGTCTCACCTCTCTGGTTGAAGTGCAGCCTTGTTGGCAAAATCTATTTTGGTCAGGGACTACATCATAGTCAAAACACAGTAGCTGCTCAACACATTTTTACTGTGTAAATTGAGTTCTAAATGATCTATGTGAACTATCACCCCAGCCAGAACCAGATGTTCAACCCTGCTTGCCCAGCATGTTTTGTTACTGAGCTGAGCAGGGAAACAACCTGACCCAGAGTCCTTTAAATTAAAAGTGCATTTAGGAGGCAAAAGAATTTCCAATGAGTTGGAGTAATGGAAATATTAACACTCGTCCAGTACATACTGTCTGCCAGGTCACTGTGGTCTACTTGCCCTTGGAACAGCTGCTGTCACTGTGGTCTACTTGCCCCAGAACAGCCCTTGGAACAGTGTAGCAAGGGGCTGCTTCTGACCTATCTTGTATTCTTTACTCCCATTGTTTGCTTAATGCAACGTTCATGTCTGATATTTTCTTAGCTCGCCCTCAAGTTTTTTCTTAGCATTGTAAAGAGGAAATAGCTCACTAGGGGGCAACACCAGGCACTCAAATTTTCCACTGAGTGTTCAGAACCAGAGGAGATGCACAGAACAGAATTTGTGACTGATGTATTAGCAGTGCTCTTTGAAAGTATTGTTAAGGTGAAAATATATGGATAATTTGCTGTTTTTATCAGCCAGGTGGCTGTTTAAATGGTTTTCAAAGGAGGAGGAGTTTCAAAAAATTGGGGGCCTTTTCCAAATCCATACTCCTGGGAGAGGTGAAGATTTGGGGCCATGGCATTATATCTCTGTGGATAGTACCAGAAACGTTGGTCTGCTTTGCTGGGATAAGGGACTAAAGTAGCTCTCAGAGCACATACTTCCATGTTGGATGGCAGTTAGGGCCATAAGAAGGTGGCCATGTAACTTATTGTTTGAACAGAGACACTCAGAACAACAGAGTACATTGGTACCATCCCAGGCAAACTGGGACCTTAGCTATCAGAGCATAGATCCCCTCTATGCAGGGAATGGAATTGTTGACAGTTGCTTCTTTTAGTCCCACAGAAAGGGCCAACAGAGACAGTATGAGTCCTGAAAGCAAGTACAAAGATACTCTGGATGTGCAGGATTCATCCCAAAGTAACTGAACAAAGTTAAGGAATGGATTTGATAAATCCTTGCACTGCAGCCTAATGTAAGAGCGGCCTTCTCAGTGAAAAGAGTAAGTCATACATTGGGTCTTCTGAGCAAAGCAAGGCCTCTCCTATAGATACTGCAATGTGACAGGGGGTGGGCGTGCATTCTGTCTGAACACTGAAACTGATATCTGAACTCAGGAGTGAAATTGACTACATCCAGTGTTTTCTGGACTATCCAGCCAAGTGGTTATTGCAGGCCCTCTCCTACATCCTACTTTATCTTCAAGGCTCAGCAAGAGGTGAATTCCTCTATTTAGTATTCGCACCGTCCTCCAAATTCCATTGCTTTCTCCTTCCTTTGAAGTGATACAACATTCTCTACTACAGGATTTGAGACTTAAGTTTATACAACCATGCTGGAAATCATCCCCAGCCCAGCTCACAGGGATCTCTACTCATTCTGATTCCCTGTAGCATTGAGAAGTTATTTAGTTCTTTTGGCCATTGGGATACATAGCCTTGCATTGTTAGTTGTTTTTTTGCAGGTATTGTTTTGTCTTCCCAAATTAATTAATTGGGAATTTAAGTCATATATTATTGTCCCCCCTCCACCCACCTTATTCAATTTATCAATGAATACTTATTGATTTTGAAAATCTTATTTTGTATGTTGCACCATCCTGATTTTGTTCTGAATGGAAGAGCTATTAATATTTACTTTAGCAAAATTTACCTGGACTTTCCTCTCATTTCTGATCATATTACCAAAAAATGAAAAATAAAAACCCTATCCTAATTTGGAATTCACATCACACTTCTTGGACAAATGCAAAGATAGAGTTAATATTTTACTCAAAAGGGTGATGCTAGAAGCCTAAGGTATGCAATAGAAATGGTAGGATAAATAGAAGCTCTAGGGCGGGCCGAGGCGGCGGGGAGGGGGTCGCGCCGGGGCCGGCGGAGCTCCAGTGGCGGCGGCGGGGAGGGACCGAGCGAGCCCAGCGGCCGCGGGCAGAGGCGGAGGGGACACGGAGGCAGCGGTCATGTCTCGCTACACGAGGCCCCCCCAACACCTCCCTGTTCATCAGGACGCCACCAGGCCTGAGGACTTGCACCGTGAATTTGGTCGATATGGCCCTATAGTAGACGCTTACATTCCACTTGACTTCTACACTCGCAGCCCAAGAGGATTTGCTTATGTTCAATTTGAAGATGTTCGAGATGCTGAAGATGCTCTTTATAACCTCAATAGAAAGTGGGTATGTGGCCGTCAAATTGAAATACAGTTTGCACAAGGTGATCGCAAAACACCAGGCCAAATGAAATCAAAAGAACGTCATCCTTGTTCTCCAAGTGATCATAGGAGATCAAGAAGCCCCAGCCAAAGAAGAACTCGAAGTAGGAGTTCTTCATGGGGAAGAAACAGGAGGCGTTCTGATAGCCTTAAAGAGTCTTGACACAGGCGATTTTCTTATAGCCAGTCTAAATCTCGTTCCAAATCACTACCAAGGCGGTCTACCTCAGCAAGGCAGTCAAGAACTCCAAGAAGGAATTCTGGTTCTAGAGGACGGTCAAGGTCCAAGTCCTTACAAAAGAGGTCCAAGTCAATAGGAAAATCACAATCAAGTTCACCTCAAAAGCAGACTAGCTCAGGAACAAAATCAAGATCACATGGAAGACATTCTGACTCCATAGCAAGATCCCCATGTAAATCTCCCAAAGGGTATACCAATTCTGAAAGTAAAGCACAATCAGCAAAACAGTCTCATTTTCGGTCACATTCCAGATCTCGGAGTTACCGTCATAAAAACAGTTGGTGAACAGCAACAGAAGAGCCCTATGTAGTCTTTAATATAAGTTATTAAACCTCTCATTATGTTAAATAAAAATTCTTCAAGGTTTACAGAAAATGTGAATTGATATTAGTTACTTTGGGCATGTAGAAGAAATAAATGTCTCTAGCTTTGGATTAATCAAGATTTGGTCTCAAGGGCCCATACCACAAATTATGAAATGTCTAATATCACCATTTTATGGACCATTTTTTGTTTACATTGTGGTAGAAATGTGCTTTTCAAAGGAAATGGGTAAAATGACACTAATTTTAAAAATTCTACTTGGATATTAAGTATTAGTAAAAATATTAACTTTTACAAAAATATTTTGACTTTAAAGCACTTTCATGTAAAAAGTAATTATGACTGTATAATTGCATAGTACAGACTTAAACTGACACCTATGTCTATTTTGTGTCTTTTGTTTAAACTTGAGCCAATTTCTGGTGGACATTAGTTCTTATTACAAAATTCTGACATCCTGAAAAGTAGAATTTATATGGAGATCAAACATTCACAAGATACATTCTCTATGGAGCTCAAAGGTTATATTTTTATTAGGTAGAACAGTATAGATATGTTGACATAAAATTGCATCCTAGGCCGGGCGCTGTGGCTCACGCCTGTAATCCTAGCTCTTGGGAGGCCGAGGCGGGCGGATTGCTCAAGGTCAGGAGTTCAAAACCAGCCTGAGCAAGAGCGAGACCCCGTCTCTACTATAAATAGAAAGAAATTAATTGGCCAACTGATATATATATAAAAAATTAGCCGGGCATGGTGGCACATGCCTGTAGTCCCAGCTACTCGGGAGGCTGAGGCAGAAGGATCACTCAAGCCCAGGAGTTTGAGGTTGCTGTGAGCTAGGCTGACGCCACGGCACTCACTCTAGCCTGGACAACAAAGTGAGACTCTGTCTCAAAAAAAAAAAAATTGCATCCTATACCATGTCTACTTTACAAAGTCAAAATATTTGAGAAATATTGGATTTTGAATGGTTTGAGACTACTCTAAAAATTATGATGTGCAGCACTCATAATCCAAAAATATTCATAATAAGCCTTACCATTTGAAAGGTGATACATTTTATATAAAGTCATATTTTATACCATTATTTCTACATACCTACTTTTCATCTGCTGCTTAATTTTTTATTTTTTGAGTCCTAGCTCACCTTTAAATTATATAGAATAATTCTTATTATTTTTAAAGTGTTTAGTACCTTGTATTAAGATAATCAAGACTACATCTTCAAAAAGCAACTTTGCTGTATTTAAATTTTACATTACACTGCCCTTCATTTTTTAAAGCCAAATAACTATTGATATTTATTGCATTTGTAGTTATTATAACTAATAATTTCTTTTAAAATGTGTTTGTAGTTTTGTTTTTCAAAGGGTTTTGGTAGTATTTGTGATAAAATGGTTTTGCATATGATTATTATAGGGGATATATTTATAGAGCTCTACTTGTATACTTTGTCGAATTATATTATTGAAACTTAAAAGTTCTCAACTCACACAGTTAATATTTATATCTAGAGTGCGTAAGAAAAAAATCTGTCTCATATTTTCAGTATACAGAAGCTAATGTTGCTTCTATTTGTTTTGAATACAAATTCCACTTTTCTTTGTGTTTTAGATCCTATATGTAAGAAACAACTTTACACAATAATTTGTATGCTGGTAATATTTGGACAAGTACCATAAATTCATGTATATTGTACTTTCTGAATAGATTTTCTCTATTAATCATAGCAAAATTTATTTATTTCACAACTACAACTCTTTGAAGTATTCAGTTTTAATAAAATTTAGTTATAAAAAAAATAGAAGCTCTAAAATACATCAGATCAGAGTTGGGATTCTGGCTCTGGTTCTTATTGACTATTGGGCTCTGGAATTCACTTCTCTGAACCTCAGTTTGTTTGTTTGTAAAACATTGATGATAATATCTGTTTTCATAGGGCTATTATGAAGATTAAATGAGGTAGCATGTAAGAAAGCACTTAGCATGATGCTTAGAACAGTAAATGTTAAATAATTCTCATTTTGAACGAGCCACTGCTATTGTTTTAAAATATGACAATCTGTAATTCTGTAATTCTATGTATTTTGGTTTCCTAAATAGCCACACTTGAAAGATCACCAATGAAGATAAGGTCAAACTTGTTAGATGGTAATCTCTTGGCATAAGTAATGTGAGTCCAAAGACCTGACTAGAGGGTGAATTAGGAAATATTTTTTTTTTTTTTTTTTTTTTTGAGACAGAGTCTCGCTTTCTTGCCTAGGCTAGAGTGAGTGCCATGGCGTCAGCCTAGCTCACAGCAACCTCAAACTCCTGGGCTCAAGCGATCCTCCTGCCTCAGCCTCCCGAGTAGCTGGGACTACAGGCACGAGCCACCATGCCCGGCTGATTTTTTTTATATTATATATATTAGTTGGCCAATTAATTTCTTTCTATTTTTATGGTAGAGACGGGGTCTTGCTCAGGCTCGTTTTGAACTCCTGACCTTGAGCAATCCGTCCGCCTCGGCCTCCCAGAGTGCTAGGATTACAGGCGTGAGCCACTGCGCCCGGCCTAGGAAATATTTTTATTATACAAAATGAACCACTCCTTGGTCAATTTCTCACTTCTTCGACTTAACACAATGACTTATCTTTAAGTAATCAATCACTGATCTAATTTATTATAAAATGGAATTAGTCTATTGAGAAAATCAGGTCAAAGCGCAAAGTTTTCATGAGAGTAAAATCAGGCAACGAACAATCATGTGTTGTTATGACTAAAAACCCAAATAGACAGGAACAATATCCTACAAATGGAGCATGACGTGATTGGCAACCAGTCTAGGTTAAAGTAAACAGGTTGGTGACATTTTCTTTATAAATTGTATCTCTTTCTGAGTACCTCTTGTCTTAAAAACCTGAGGGCATGGGCTGGAACACAATCCTCTAGCTGGGACTTCTCCCTTTTCCACTGAGGAAGCTTTCTAAATTCCATGCCCTTCTTTTTATTACCAAAAAGCAGGTTGTGTGTTGCTGTTTATTTTCTCTATTTGGGTCCACCAGGGATCTGCATCACTTAGGCAGATTTCCCCAATGAAGTATGGTGCTATCCCTTCCCAATGTGGCTGGTATTCCCAACAAGGTTATTAAGTTGTAAGCAAGCTCCTTGAATCACCATGAAAAGTGCTCCAGGTAGCAGGAATTCCAGGACTCCTCACACATAACATGTGTCTCAGGTGACCTACTTACCGAAAGTAAGTCTTTCACACACTGCCTTTGAACTGTGATGAAAGTAGGCTACACAAAAGCTGACAGGTACAGCCTGTCAAATTAAATCCCAAACCAGACCTTGATGTTAAAATCCTGAAACAGAGAGGACTTAGCAGGTTAAATTTGCATGTGAGGATCATGAGTTCTTAGTGTCCAGAGAAAACCCAGACTTTTGTACTTGGCATGGTAATAGTTTTATTTGAAGAGAACACAAGTAAAATAATTTCCTTGTAGACTAATGTTTAACGGATACATAATGCTTAGAATGGAAAGAAGCAAATTTTGAAAAGCACTCTTTTTCTTTTGAGCCTTTGGAAGTACACTTGGGATTTATTAAAATACAAGCTGTAAAGCTTTTTATCATTTATGTTAAATGACAAAAGGAATAAATAACATGTGGGAAAATAAGAGTGTGCTTTGCATCACTTGCCATAAGTCATTTTTTCTATTGACCTTCAAAGAGTAATATTTTCAGAGGACAATGTTTAATGGTAGTAGTGATATTTATGTCAGAATTAACCCCCAACAGTGAAGCTCAGGCTGATCTTCCTAATCTTTCATTAGTTACGTGAGAATGGATAGACAGAAATGTATAATACAATACCGTAATGATTAAATCACACACTGACCAACAATCAGAACTGTGAATGGCTCTCACAACCTGCCAGCTCAGGACCTCAGGACCTTCAGCAGCCATGAGGCAGACTGGCTAAGAGCACATGTCCTAGAGTAGCATTTGGACTCGGTTTCCATCTGTGGAACTTTGGGCAAGTTGCTTAGTCTGATTTAAGCCTCAGTTTTTTCTTTCTTTTCTTTTCCAGTTTTATTAAGTTATAATTGACAAATAAAAACTGTATATATTTACAGTGTATAATGTGATGTTTTCATATGCATTGTGAATCAAGCTAATGAACATATCTATCACTTCGCATCATCTTATTTTTATTTTCATTTTTTGAGTATGTGGAAAGAACATTTAAGATCTACTTTCTTAGAAAATTTCAAGTATAAAAAATCCAGTGTTGTTAAGTATGGTCACCATGCCATACATCAGATCTCCATAACTTACTCACCTTGCATAACTGAAACTTTCTACTCTTTAAGCAACAACTCCCCATTTCTTCCACCCTCTGGGTCCTGGCAACCACCATTCTACTCTCTGCATCTATGAGCTCAGCTTTTTAAGATTCCAATATAAGTGAGATCATGCTGTATTTGTCTTTCTATGCCTGGCTTACTTTCCTTAGCATAATGTCTTCCAGGTTCATCTATGTTGTCACAAATGACAGGATTTCCTTCTTTTTAAAGGTGGAACAATATTCCATAGTGTGTGTATATATACACACATATACATTCTATTATTCATTCACCCATCAATGGAAACTTACATTGTTTCTGTATCTTGGCTATGAGGAATAATGTTGCAATGAATACATGAACACCGGAGTGCAGATGTCTCTTTGACATATTTCATTTCCTTTGGATATATACCCAGTAGTGGGATTGCTGGATCAAATGGTAATTCTATTTTTAATTTCTTAGTTTCATTGATCTTTTCTATTGCTTTTCCAGTTTCCATATCATTTATTTCTCTGATCTTTGTTATTTCCTTCCTTCTAACGAATTTAGGCTTAGTTATTTTTTTAGTTCCTTGAGGTGTAAAGTCAGGTTCATTTGAGATCTTCCTTTTTCCTTAACGTAGGCATTTATTGTTATAAACTTCCTTCTTAGAACTGCTTTTACTGTATCCCTAAGTTTTGGCATACTGTGTTTTCATTTTTGTTTGTCTCAA